TTGACATCAAATTTCGACATATTGTAGTATATTCTTTTAGCCAGGGCCGGACATGAGATAAATAAATTCTGAAATTATAGTAAAGAACTTAACTAAAATAATAATTAAAATTATAATAATCACGATTAAAACTAATTATATACAATATAAAAGAAGAAACTATAATATAGAAAATCTAAAACTAAAAATTTAAATCGTCAAAAAGACCTGCTACTCGTGGTATAGTGCCAAGAACGGTGGCTGCGTTTCCTCGCTGAATAGCTATACTTAGCCTTTGAGCGAGGAAAGAACCAGCCCTCTTATCACCAGCAGCGATGACCGGTCGTGGATACAGTTCCTTTAGAAACTTCATTGCACGTGGACCCCAAGGACCGATAGTCTCTACAGCAAATGGCACAAATATGTAGTCATTTCTCAAAGACTCATATTTGCGCCATTTACTAAATTCGGCTGCCTCTGATGCCGCCCCGGCTCTAAAAGAGGTACCCTTGAGATGAGAGGCCGCCAAAGTGTCAACGCAAGTAGCATCCCACACTAGGGTTTTACCTCTCTCCCAAGGAACAAAAGTCATACCGTCGGGTCTCTTGCCATCGTCTCTAAATATCCCGCAAGGCTCTAAAACCGAGGGGATATTTATAGAGACAAGAGCCCTTCGGATGATTTCCTTGATTTGACGGGAAAACCTACCTGCACTTTTCTTGCATGAAAGTCCGTGGCGCCCAAACTCATCGACGCTGCTACCACAGGGGCACTGATGAGGTTAACAAATAGCCACTCCTAGCCGGATTCCTACGGCGATGCGCAAGCTTTCCCCATCAAGCAACGTGCCAAGATTACTTGATGGTAGAGCATGTAACCGGTAGCTAGATTCCGTATTCGATAATATTCTTTTAATTTTATGTAATAAATCTGACAATGACATTTTGGTTAATTTATTTGACATGATGTAATCTATTTGTATACTGTAAGCCAGCATGTGCACTGTTTTTAAAATATATGAATAAAATATAAAATATAATATAAACCTCAAAATTGCTTTGTATCTAAACTTATCTCAATGTAATATTATTATATTTTCATGTTTTTAAGAATATACATACATAAATACATAAACACTCACGCCTGTCACCCAGAGGGGTAGGCAGAGACTACAGACTTCCATTTGGCACGATCCTGACACACCTCTCTCGCCTCCTTCACATCCATACACCTACGCATGCATGCTCGTCGGTTAAGGGTACTCCTAATTTGGCCCGTTTTCAATAAATCGCCAATTTGGTCGATAAATTTTCGCCTAGGACGTCCCTTTCCGACTCTGCCATTCACTTCTGCAACATAAATTTTCTTTGTCACTCTTTCCTCATCCATTCTTTCCACATGACCAAACCACCGAAGCATTCCTTTCTTAATCCTGGTCACAACATCATCTTGCAAACCACACTCTTCTCTTATCACACAATTTTTCACCCTGTCATTCAGATTCAGCCCTAACATACTCCTTAACGACCGCATTTCTACTGCATTTATTCTACTCTCGTGCTTCTTCTGCCATACCCAACTTTCACTACCATACGTTAAAGTAGGGACCAACACAGCATTGTGAATTGCCATACGTGCCTTTTTTGACACATTTTGACTCTTCACAATAGAGTGCAGGGCTCCATTTACTCTGTTTCCTGCGTTCACTCGTCGTTCTATATCCTTATCATATCTCCCATCCCTGCTAAATACGCAACCCAAATATACAAACTCATCTACTTGCTCGATCAACTCCCCTTCTATTCTTATTTCACATATCGTTTTACTTTCATCTCTTTCAAAAACCATAATTTTTGTCTTACTTGCGTTCACTTTCATACCCCTTTCTTTTAATGATCTGTTCATTAATGTAACCATCATTTGCAACTCAGCCGCCGACGACGCAAGAATAACTTGATCATCGGCGTACAAAAGGCATTTGATGGTTAACTCACCCATTCTTAATCCGCATTCTTCAACTTTCAAATTTTGCAAACAACTGTCCATAAATAGGTTGAACAACCACGGGGAAGCCACACAGCCCTGTCTGACACCTTTATGGATGCCAAACCAGTCCGAGTATCCGTTGTAGTCCGTTGTAGTCCGGAGTAGTCCGTTGATCCTAACACAAGCACTAGAGTCCCTATAAAGAGATTCCAATGCCTGTATCAAGCCAGCGCTCAACCCAAATGCGTTCAGTGTTTGCCATAGCACATTCCTATCCACTCTGTCATAGGCCTTCTCCAAGTCCATGAACGCACAAAAAACCTTTTGGTTTTTGGCCAAAAACTTCTCCGCGATCATGCGCATGGAGAAGACTTGATCTGTACATCCCATTCCCTTTCTAAATCCCGCTTGCACATCCCAAATTTTTCCATCGGTTTCTTTCATGACCCTTTCAATTAGTACCTTGGCATACAGTTTTCCCACGATGCTAAGAAGGCTGATACCGCGGTAGTTTTTACAGTCCTGCTGCGACCCTTTTCCCTTATATACTGGGACTATCACGGCTTTGCACCAGTCTCCCGGTACCCGCTTCAGTTCCCAGCATAAATTAAACAAGGTGTGCAGCAGGCCTGCCACCACTTCCTCTCCAGCCCTTAGCATTTCGAGTGAAACTCTATCATATCCGGCAGCCTTACCTGCTTTCATGCTTCTCATTGCTTTCATTATTTCATCTATACTTATCTCGCTACCTTCTTCCTCTTCTTTCGGAGTTCCTATTTCATTCAGTTCATACGTTGTCTCCTCACTCATAAACATGCTTTCAAAATATTCCTTCCATCTCTTTAAACTCAAAACTTCATCATTCAGAATATAGCCATTCTCATCTCTTATAGCATTCATTATAGGCTGTTTTGAACATCCCCTGGCAGTTCTTACGAGTTTCCAGAACATTTTAATATTTGCCTGGAAGTTATCCGATATTCTTCTATCATTCTTATCCGTTCTTTCTTGCTTTTTCCTTTCAACTACTTCTTTTACTCTTTTATTTAGATGTCTAAAGACTGCCTTTTTTCTTTCAAAATCATCATTCGTACCGCTTGAATTACCAGCCTTAGTTGCTAGTAAATCTAGCCATGCTCTCTTCTTTGCTTCAACTTCCGTACGTATCTCATCATCCCACCATAACGTATTATTTTTCCTTTCATTCTTTCTTTTACTAACACCACATACTTCGGTAGCTGCATCTACTAAACCTTTCTTAACATTTTGCCATACATTCTCCAAGTCTAACTCATTCATACATAATTCATCCAAACCACTTACGTTTTCTTTCAGTCTACATTTAAACTTGTTTTTCTTACCTTCATCTTGTAATCTTTCTGTTCTAATACGCTGTAACGCAGTGGTAGACACAGATGACCGATGGCGCCACCGCCTGAATAGACCGTTAATTCGGCATAAAACCAAAAAATGATCCGTTCCTACGTTTGACCCCCGGTAAACCCTTGTATCCACCACTGCGCCCCTCAATCTTTCATCCACAATTATGAAATCTATCATGCTTCTATCATCACCTCTTTCCCAAGTGTACATGTGAATCCTCTTGTGGCGAAAGAAAGTGTTCGTCACAAAAAGATTCTTTTCCATACATACAGTGAGGAGGCTTTCACCATTCTCATTTATACTTTCATCACCAAACGTTCCCAATATCCTTTCATAACCAAGCCTCCTCACCCCAACTCTTCCATTAAAATCTCCTAGCATAACAACATTTTCATTTCCCTTACATTTCATTAATACCATCCTTACCATTTCCCAAAACTGCTCTCGGATATTTTAAGAATATATTATATTTTTTTTATTTAAATTTTCTGTTTTCCTGAAGTATTTATTTTACAGTACATGTTGATACTCTTTTCGACATTTGGCGTTTGTCGTTGAATCACATCCGTTAAGAGGTTACCAGAAACAATATCTAGTACTAACGAATCATTATAATCCATATGCTGTCAAACTAACCAAGCAACATGCGGTCTTGTTAATGTATATACAGGCGTAAGCGTCAGTTTAGAGGTTTATTAATGAATCATAATTCATTCAAGAAAAATTTCATATAAAAATAATAATATACTGGATGCCCTTTTTTGCCATCTGGAAAAAATAGAGTGTAACATGTGAACGGAGTAGAAGCCTATGGCACGGATATTTTATAAAAAATAATAACAAAAAATTTGAATTAAATTAATTAATTAATTAAAATCTATCGAAACTCAAATCCAACGAGCACACAGTCCACCTGATGGTAAGTGGTTGCTGCGGCCCATAGAGATCTACATCTATTCTCGATTACAAATCAAAATGCAGATGCATTGTCACCCGTGAGGACTAAGATGGAATGCCTCATTTCCAGTAAAAAGGGTCTCCGGTTCTCTACACTTACCATACGAAACACAGTAGCATTAAGCTACTGTTTTACGCTGGAATTCTGTGAGAGCGTGGTCCTTCACGGGTTGAGCTGACCCATTCGTGCTACAACTATACTACTAATATGACTGCAGCATAGCTCTACCACGTATAAGCTTACTTTACGTACGGCAATAAAACAATAAATTTAGTAGGTATCTTTGATCTTGTCACTTCGCAGGGTCACGGACTCAAGGGCAAGGTGTAAAGCAAAAATTTAAATAAAAATGTTTCCAACGTTTAATTTAAAAATTTTGGTTCTATTCTTTGTAAAATATCTATGCCATAGGCTTTTACTTCGTTTACACGTATTTACAAGTGTTCGTACAGTATAATTTTGACTCAAAACATGATAATATTAACAATCTATTATTGCATTTATTAATATAATTATCTTGGGGTTTGAATGCACTGTGTTTTTTTTTTTGTTTCATGTGCTATTTACTGCAATATATTTAATTCGAGTCTTAACAGTGTACATGATGCGATTTATGAGGAAATCTTAACCTTGTTTTCGTAATCCATTTTTAATTAACTATTTTAATATTTTAACATTTTCGTTATTGCTCCAGTGCCGATGGAAATTATGAGGTGACGATAATGACGAAGGCGATCTTGCATCACGATGGGAAAGTTGTCTGGAAACCGCCTGCCATCTACAAGTCATTTTGCGAGATAGACGTCGAATATTTTCCCTTTGATGAGCAGACCTGCTTCATGAAATTTGGTTCTTGGAGTTACGATGGTTATACGGTAAGGATATTTCCTAGTTTTATAATAATACACCAATATAATAATTATACTTGTATTACCGACTTCTAGAATGATACATATAACGAATTACGTACGCTTAACTTCTCGCTACAAGACTCCTCTCAATTTTGGAAGGGTTGTGTATTAGAAATAAGTACAATTTGCCGCAAAAATACGAGTTGGTTGACTATGCCTATTTTCTCATGACGTTTTCCTTCACCCAAGATCACGTAAAAATAAACGCTTAAAATAATTAAAGTGATGTCGACGAGTATTAAAACCGGGAAGCTTATGTACTCCGTAACTAAATGAAAACAAGGAAACGCACGACTCCTGAGATAAGAATGAAAGTAATAACACGATTGTAGTAGTTCTGCTTACCTTTATTAAGTTAACAAAGGGTTTCGGTAAGAGTTTGTGTTAAAATTATATATCAATGAACGCTCCCAGTAGATACACAAGTTAATTGCTAGAGCAAAAAATTCACCTTCATATACATTTAATAGTAGTATTCCTACTATCTTGCCGTGTAATATCGGGAAAGAATATTCACTACCCCATGCCATCCCGTGGGTGTTGTAAGAGGCAAAGCGAGAACAAATCTGGAGCTGGGCAGCAGCGTCTTCAAATAAGAGCTGAAACTAACAAAAATTGCGGTTGCCAACTCACTTGCCAAGCGTAGCAACTATGGCAAAAATCTCTCCTATGAGACAATTTATGGGGGAAGCCTATGTGTAGCAGTAGATTTTAGTATGCTACCGTTACGTAAAGGTAATTCCAACTAACAACAAATAATGAGAATATAAAGTAAATTTGTCAATGAAAGATGTGATGCGATAAAACTTTGGAATTGAGTTTACAGCTACCATAATTTAAAAGATAAAATCATCCATCCAACTAAGGAAGCCAATATATCAGTGTGTTACTGACTTTCAAATAAATAAAAGTAAGGTTTACGTTTGCACCTTATATCGCTCGTGTTAAAGTTCACTAGGGATTGTTTCTTTGTTGTTTATTTCAACCTTACCTTTGATTGTTGTGTGAGATAGTAATAAATGACGTAAGGTCGGAATAAACGGTTTGATTCCTTAATAACAGCGAGGCGTGGGAAAGGTGTAGCCTTATTTTAAAGACATCATATATCAATATACTTGATTCTCGTCACTTAGTGAATATTCCACTACTGACCTCCACAGATGCTATGGAAATTTTCACTCGCTTACAAAGGGTTTTGTACTCATTATTCATTTTTGTTGAAATTTTTGTATCTTCACTTAATTATAGAATTCAAAATTGAACACTTATGACTACCTACATTTAGTGAATATCACTATAGAAAAAACTATGTTCAAGGTTTCGTTTATAAATAAGATTTTCAATGAAGAAATTTCGTAGCAAAACTTAGGTTAGCAATATTATTTAGGTAGTTTAAAAGTAACAACTGTTGAATAAGTTTCGCTAAGTAGCGTTAATAACTACCAGTTTGACCTGTACCTAGCACTGACTGACACTTTCGACAGCCTGGTGACGCTATAGTGTGTTTGTTACAATACTATCTCAACGGCTACCAGAACGGCAACGGCAATGTTATACTTAAAAATGTCGGTAAATTTATTTATCGTATGAGACATACGAAAATATTACATTTAAAATTGAACAAGGATAAAAATCTTGTAACAAGGATAAAATAAGGGCATATATATTTAATCCAATGATAGCAAATAGTTTAATTCCAATTTTGATATATATGTGAACACAATAATTAGACTAGGTATTATTTTCAGGTTGATCTGAGGCACTTAAAACAAACACCGGACTCGGACCAGATACTAATGGGTATTGATCTATCAGAATACTACATCTCCGTCGAGTGGGACATCATGCGTGTACCGGCAACTAGGAATGAAAAATTCTATTCATGCTGTGAAGAACCCTATCCTGACATTATTTTTAACCTTACTCTTCGAAGGAAAACACTTTTCTATACAGTGAACTTAATCATTCCTTGTGTTGGCATATCCTTTCTCTCAGTTCTTGTGTTTTACCTGCCTTCTGATTCTGGAGAAAAAATATCACTTTGTATATCTATATTGCTGTCCTTGACTGTGTTTTTCTTACTTTTAGCGGAAATTATTCCACCTACGTCGCTTACTGTCCCACTATTAGGCAAATATCTATTATTTACTATGATGCTAGTCACATTGTCAGTAGTTGTCACCATCGTCGTTTTAAACGTTAATTTTAGATCTCCTGTTACACATCACATGGCCCCATGGGTACGAAAAGTCTTTATAGATTTTTTACCTCGAATATTATGTATACAAAGACCAGAAAAGCCACCTGATGATGACGAAAACGATAAACCAAGTGAGGTAAGAAAAACTCGCCTTGATATATGTTTACTGCAGTTTCACACAATAAGGTTCAATTGTTTAAGCAATTCAACTTTCTTCTATCGTCAATCACAAAATACCTTCAAGTCATAATGCATAATTTTTTAGATGAGATGTATTCAAAAAACACTTTTCGTAAATTTTCAAGCATTACCATCATCATCATCATCATCATTACAGTACTCACAACACACAAGTCCACTGCTGAACATAGGCCTCCCCCAAGGTATACCACAAAACACGGTTCTGAGCCACCTGCATGCATCGACCTCCTGCATGTCTTACCAGGTCGTCACTCCATCTAGTGGGGGGTCGCCCTACACTTCACCTACCGGTACGAGGCTGCCACTCGAGAACCTTTTTCCCCAACGGTTGTCGGTTCTTCGAGCTATATGGCCGGCCCATTGCCACTTCAGCTTACTAATCCGTTGGGCTATGTCAGTCATTCTAGTTCTACTGCGGATATCCTCATTTCTAAGTTTATCACGCAGAGAAACTCCGAGCATAACCCTCTAGCTCGATAGCTAGATAGCTCGCTGAGCGACTTTGAACGTCCTCATACGGCCAGCAGTGAAGGACCACGTCTCGGTTCCGTAGGTCATCACTGGCAACACACACTGGTTGAAGTTGGTAGAAGATGTGTCGTAAATCCCTGAATGCTGCCCAGCCGAGTTGAATCCGTCGATTGACCTCTCAATCGAAGTTGGACTTACCTAGTCAGACTATTTGTCCCAGGTAAACGTACTCTTCAACAATGTCGAGCATAGTGCTCCCAACGACCTACCGGCCATACCCAATGAACTACCGGCATAGGTGTGACATGGGCATTAAACACGATCTTTGTTTTTTCCATGTTCATCTTAAGACCTAAACGTTGGGAGACACCATTGAGGCCATTGAGCATAATGCTTAGGTCCTCTAGCGAATCTGTCATAAGGACTATATCGTCGGCAAATCGAAGGTGAGTGATGTACTCGCCATTGATGTTAATACCGTAATCTTTCCAGTTCAGTAGCTTGAAAACGTCTTCCAATGCAGCTGTGAAGAGTTTCGGGGAAATAACGTCACCTTGTCTTACACCTCTCTGCAATTGGATAGGTTTTGTACTCTGGTTCTGTACTCGGATAGCCATCGTAGCTCTATTGTACTAACACTTCAGCACTTCGATATACCGACAGTCAACTTGGCACCGCTGAAGAGACTGTAGCATTCAAACCAAACCAAATTTCGACGAAATCAAAGACTTTCTCATAGTTCACATACGCCAGGCAAAGTGGCAGATTGTACTCTTCGAATTTCTGTACAATTTGCCGAATGGTATGTATGTGGTCTATGGTACTACAGCCTTTTCGGAAACCGGCTTGTCCGGGAGGCTAGAAGTCGTCGAGTCTGCGTGCGAGACGATTCGTAATGACTCTCGAAAACAGCACGTAGACGCGGCTCAGAAGGAATATCGGTTTGTAGTTCTTCAAGAGGGCGTTGTCACCTATCTTGCAGAACAAGACCACCGTACTTCTGCTCAACGCCTCCGGAGTAGTGCCACCATGGAGGACGGAATTAAAGAGCCTCTGAAGGGCTTCAAGTACCGGTTTTCCACCCGCTTTCAGAAGCTCCGCTGTAATTCCATCCTCACTCGGGGACTTCCCGTTTTTAAGGTGCTGGATAGCCATTCTAATCTCGCTCAGACTGACGTCCGGGATATCATCGGAATAGTGACTTGCTCTTGGATCGTTACTTACACTCGCGTGTGGCTCCAACGATGATATGTACAGCTGCCCATAGAACCTCTCAATCTCACTCAGAATCTCAGATGTCCCGGAAACGATGCTGCCACACTCAGTCTTCAGCTTTGACAGTTGGCTCTTACTGGCAGACAGATCTCTGGCAAAGACTTTGGAGCCCTGGTTCCGCTCAATCGCTTCTTCAATACGAGCAGTATTAAAGTTGCGTAATTCTCGCCGCATGCATTTGGAGATCTGTCTGTTTAGTTGCCTGTATGCAGTTAAATCTGTTGACGATTGCAGCCTCATCTCCCGTCTAACAGCCATGAGATTAAGAGTGTGATCGGAGAGTTTTTGTGTTCTTCTGCGGCGGTTCTTACAGAACTTAGCTCCGACCGCATGGACAGTTTCCTAGAGCTTGTCTTTCATATCGTCCACTGCATTGCAATCTTCTAGGTACTGAAAGCGGTTACGTAATTTGAGCTGAAAAGTTTCAGGATTCTGTATCAGAGCACGAGAGGGACGGAGCGTTGACTTCATAAGACGAGACCTCTCCAACTTCACATTTAGGTTCAGTGTGCCTCTAACCATTCGGTGATCGCTGCCAGTTTTCACCTTTGCGATCACTGAGACATTACTGAACAGTTGGCGTCTGATCGTCATAATGACGTCAATCTCATTTTTTGTTGAACCGTCGGGGTTTGACCAGGTCCACTTCATGTGGGGCCGCTTCTGGAAGAAAGGGTTCATCATAAAGAGTCCCTCTTTCTCCATAAAGTTGGCCAGCCGCTGGCCCCTGCGGTTCTGTTTCCCTAATCCAAATTTCCCTAACTTCAGCTCACCGCTTTCTCTTGTGCCTAGTTTTGCGTAGAAGTCTCTCATCAACACCGTGTTGTGGGTTTTGGAGGAATGCATGGCTCTGGAAATATCCTCATACATTTCCTCCACCTCCTCATCGGGATGTATCGAGGTTGGTTCGTAAGCCTGTATGACCTTCAATGAATACCGTTTGTTGATTCTGAGTATCAGGTACGCGACCCTCGTCGACACACTCCCAATCTTTACAACGTTGTTTACAACGTTGTTAGCATTACCATAGCCTTTCAAAATAAACTTTTTACCATTACAAAGTTTTCTTTGATATGAATTCAATAACAATGATATTTACAGTTACTTCGAAGCAGCCCTCAACAATAACCATTTAAAATGTCCTCCGCCACGGGCCTCTTCAGGGAAAAACTCCTTTCAACAATTTCCTAAATCCATTGTACTCTATGTATCGCGAAAATATCGCTTCCAGACCAATTTCATTCCATTTCGATTTTCCTTTATTACTCAACGCCGGCGGGCTTAACGAGCGCGCACGGCCCCCGTTATTTATGTTCCCCTCGTGGCTGCGGACGGATCGCACGATATATGAGCCAGCAGACGCGGCCGGAAACCGAAACTTTCACTCCAACCTAATTGTGTGCTTAAAGCCACGTCAATAGAACCACTTCCCTAACTGATACTTTAATCCTTGATTTTCTCTTTCATCAGGAATATTCACAATAATAATCGAAAAATCAAAGTTTTGTCCATGTCTTACTTTATGTAATTTCATGTCATAATTTCTTTTAGGTTCTGACTGATGTATTCGGGGGTGATGATCTAGATGGAAAATTCAAGGAATGGGGTTGCGAGGAGTATGATCTACCGGGAATGCCACCTTCTCCACCGCCTCCTCCGGGTGGTGATGATGAACTGTATTCACCATCTCCTGGTTCGCCATGTCGACTTGATTTAGACGACAGCAGTCCATCTTTAGAAAAACCTTATGTAAGAGAGATGGAAAAGACAATAGAAGGATCCAGATTTATAGCACAGCATGTTAAAAATAAGGATAAATTTGAAAGTGTAAGTAGACGATTTCTTGCCTTAAATAATATACTTTATTATCGTTGTATTATATTTTTATTTAATATTATTTTTATTTTTACAGGTAGAAGATGATTGGAAGTACGTAGCTATGGTATTAGATAGAATTTTTCTATTTGCATTCACAATAGCATGTGTTCTCGGTACTGCGTTAATTATATTCAGAGCGCCAACGTTTTATGACAACTCTAAACCAATTGACATCCTTTACTCAAAGATTGCAAAGAAGAAATTAGAGTTGCTGAAAATGGGATCCGAGAGCGATCCAGGTCTCTGAAATTCGTCTTACGTCTTCGGCCACTCGCCGCCGAAGACGTTCTGGGAGCTAATTGTCATGTGGTGGCATGGATGATCAATGTAAAGCTCCCAGTATGGAACATTGTGGCGAGAACAGTGTTTTTGTGATCAGTGTGGTGCCAAGCGTCCGGTGCGCTTCTGGACGTTTGAACGCCGCAAGCGTGTCCAAAGCCGTCTTTTTATATAAAAAAAGAAAAGAAAAACTGCTAACTCGAGACTGTGTCCGTTGATAGTCAAAATGAGATGGAAGTACAATAGCGGTTTTGTGTTAACGCCGATTCTGGCGTAAATATTTTTTATATTAATATGCCCTGTTTTGTGTATATTTTAAGCGAATGTTACCTAATTTAATATCTTTATTGTTTGTTTTATTATATATAATGGTATATTTTAATAAGAGCGCACAAATGTTGTATATATTGACTCATGAATTTCTGTTTTACTTCCTTTAAGATAATATTATGTTAGTTCAATATCACGTTATTAAATTTTAATAGCATTTAAAGTTTTAAATTTATTTACTTTAGGATTTACTTGTAATAAAATCAAGCTCAATTTCTTAACTATAGATAATGTAAAGGAATAATATTCAAAAGCGTCATACATAAAATATAATAGCCTCAAGCAAACGTCCTCGATGAGAGCCGGACATTGTAGATGTAATATTGATGAATAATTATTAAATTATACATTTAGTATTTTATAAACTACCTACGTACTCGCGTAAAAATCATATGGACAATATCGATTCATTGACGAATGATAATTATTTCCCTGTAGTAAATTAAAGTAAGGGATTATAGATATAAATAATTTTAATAGTCTAGTCATCTCTAATGTAAGGAATTACACTTATCATAATGCCAAATAGTTTATAGAATCATGTCGCAACCGTGATATTATTTGACTAGAAGTATATGTGAAAACAATTGACTGCCAATTGTACATTTTTATAATATTCGATATTCTTAGATAGTGTGGATAACTTATTCAATTACATTTTTTTAACGGAGTGCCAAAAATTTCAGTAACATGTCAGAAAATTCTGGTTCGAAGACTAAATACAATGAAGTTTTAAGTGCTATTTAAGTGCTTAAGTTTTTAATAAAGATTATTATTATTATTCGAGTTCTTTCGAGTTTCGCTTAATTATAACAAACTGATCTATAGGTATATTTATTAAATAAAAGCTTTTCCTAATAAGCAATGACTGAAATGCCATACTATCGCGCCTAACACTGTTTTAAATACACCGAAAATACATTTTCTGTAATTTCACTATGATTCTAGAGTACAGGGTAAATTTAGTACACACGTGTCTACTCCTTAATTTGTAATTTCACGATTTTCACTGATGGTAAGGTCTTGTTCAATTATCGGCACTTTACAACTACATGTTTTAGATAGTAAAAATTGTTGGAGTTCAAGCGAATCTAGCATTTAACAAAACGTATCCTACGTTTTATTTAAGCTTAGATTAGATTTGATATTAGATGTTTCTTTTTGATCATTATTATCTATTTGTAGACAACTTTATACGATTTCGTCTTGTAGCGCGCCTTTGAAATTATTTTTGATTATTTCACATACATACACATCTTACATCTAACATCAATTTAAACCCGTTTTGTAGGGTGAAGTAGCATTTTGTGGTAATAAAAATATTTCGAGCCGCGTAATTGATATGTCAAAGTAATTCATAATGTTTATTAGATATCGATTAATTAGATAACTCAAAGGTTATTAATATTTTAATAAAATCCACCGCGGACAGTTAGGAAAACAGGGATGGTTAAAATAAAATAAATCAAGCTGTTTTGTGTGATTTCTCTTAATATTCATAAGTGTTATTGAATTTGTATAGATATCTGTGTCAAAAATTGCATACACTGGGCTAGTCTAGATTAGGAATCACTAAATAATGTCATTAGTTTAAATGGTAACATACGTGCGTCATAAATTCAAATAGCAAAGTCATGAGAAGCTCGCCAAAGGTTGAATGATGTAACTTATTAGCTGCATCGTAAATAGAAAATTAATGCTAGTTTCACTGCCAGCAAGCAGCTTAGTTGTGAAACGGAGTAAGTGCACAGAAACGCCACAGCAAGATTTATGCCGCGTAAACAGTGATAAATGAGGCTGTGCGATTAACAGATAGCTCGCCTCACATTGGTCAGTGATAACATCCACTCTGATCTAAATAGACTCAGGGAGTTGTTATATGAGACTCCCGTCACACTTATAATAAATATTCCTTCGAAGGATTTATTGGATGGAATTGTTTACAATAATACTAAAAGTAATTTTTAATAAGAAATAAAATCGGATAAATGAAAAGTAGGCATGTGCTTTTGCACTCACCGAAACACACCAATTGTTAGATAAGTCCACAAGCTTCCCACACTACTCCGTGATTATTTAAACTTTTAATGTAGATATTTGCTAGATGTAAACGGTCTATTGTTATTTTTATATGACTGCAACTAACATAGTTAGATTTTCTAAAGACACCTTAGGTAAATACGTATATGAAAAATGTTCTTACGGACGTTTGGAATGGAATAGAATAAGAATTGTATGAAATGTTAATGATGACGCCAAATTATTGCAAATAGCCTACGTCGGAAAAGAATATGAAAAATTAATTCTAACTATACAGTATTCGCATGTGTATTTAATAAACGTGTTGTTATAATGACAGGTTTTGGAATGTATTAAAGAGGTGTTTTAGAAGAATGTTTGAAAATAATACCTATATTCTAAGGTACATATAAATATTACATAGGGTTTGTTAAAATGGATGAGCTAAGCCATACAACGATTAATGGTCGCAAATTTTGGAGATGAATTGGGGGATCAGGTTTTATTAAATTTTTAATTTAACTATTTATTGTATATAACACAGAGTTCATTAAATAATTCTATTCCGCACAAGTGCATTAAACTATGTATTTGACCATTCAGTTTCTTTTGTGATTTGTATATTCGGTTATATCTAGACTTCACTTAATTTTTGTCCGTTGTGTTTGTTCAGCATTTTTTTAAATTGTTATATATACAAGCACTTCGTCTTAATGTTTTATTTTGGGTGATAAACGGGTAAGCAAAAGTAGTAAAGTTGTCTAATGTGTTAGATAGATGAAATAAATTTAAAAATAACTTAAGAAGCTAGAATCAATGTAGTCAATAAGTGATTTAATTGCGGTAAGTTTACTAAATATAAGTGGTATAAAATTAGCTTCTCAGTGTTTTAGAGTTAGTCGACGAATGAGTCAGTTCGAGAGCGCGGTGTCAGATAAATTTGTTACGTCATCTCATGGCACTTACTTGAGCTATCGGGCACCTAGCTTTATTTCCTCAGGTATGAAATAACACCTATCTAAATACCACCAAAATATTCATCCAACTTTTTTGAGCTGTTTCCAAGATAGACTATAACTATTTAGTGTATTTTTTTAATATTTTCAATTCGATTGCATAAATTCCATTCCTTTTAAACAACACTTCTTTACGTATTGAGGTCGCCTGAAAGAAATTGCTTTCAGAGCGGTAAGATAAGTTGTATTTGTGTGCATGAAAGGATATATTGATTGATACAAGATTTATTTTGTGATTTTGACAATCTTTTGTTATAAATATAATATATTTATTGATTTCAACATATGGTAATATACTTCACAATATTTTAACTTTAAATTATGTTTCGTTATTAAATTTTCTTTTAGTTGAATAGGTTTTTGAAAAGTTAAACCAGGTCGCTTTTACATGTTCACCTAATTCACTATTTACCATCAGGTCTCATCTGAAGTAGTCAAGCAGTCAAGCAAGAAAAGCTTATATGTGAAAAAATGTTTTTATACATGGCGCGTATATGTATATATGCACCTCTTTGAGTCTTATTAATACGATAGAAACAGGCAAGAGTCCAAAATGAGAAGTAATTTGCAAAAATAACGAAACCAAACAACGTAGATATAATGAGATAAATGAGGTCTATCATGGCAACAAAAAAGCAAAGCTACGGTTATCTTAGTCCTGCTTATGATTCGATAACAATTTTTTCCACATTTTTAATCTCTCCTAAATAATTTTAATAATTTCTCTATGATAGATATACTCTATAAGCAATATTAACAGTATATTCTTCCTATTAGTAAATTTGTTTGCGTAATTTATTATATTATTAAGAAACTTTTTGTGTATATAATATATAATTAAAAAAAATAATTTACCTGTTTTATCCTAACACTGTGTCGAAAATAAACAAAAACAATATATTTTCCACATACATAAATAATACAAATACATACAAAAAAATTTTGGATTTTTACTAAGCCCATATTAATTTTATGATGACTTCGACAACAATATTTTTGTGTGCGCTAAAATAGTTTTGGTTTCTTTTTTTGCTTCTAAATATTTTTATCCAGATGTTCATAGCAAGTTTGTCTACATCGGGTGATGGAGCTGCAAACTCATAGTCAGCTATCACATGGCTGTCAGTAATTTTAAGAAATCAACTTAACCGAAATGTTGGCATGTACATATAGATGATCAACATAGAAATTTAAAAATAATATTAAATTGACAAGTTATTTTTCTACGTTCCTTTCACAATACCTATAGTGCTAATTAGAATTGTAGTAGTAATCGTCTTAGTTTTTTTTTTTTGTAAATTTTGCTTTCTCAATAGTTAAAGTAATGAAAAGCAATAAGTACTTTCAGTCAACGGATATGCATTTTGCGTTTAAAATTAATATGTTCTTATTCATTAATTATTCTTGTAATTGTAAGGTTTATTTTGTAATGAAATCGACAGTAATCCGTAACGCTTTATAATTAGGTTCATTGAAATGTAGTTTCGTATAGTATTTCCTCAATAGCACTGTCTGATACTTGTTTAATTGCACGGTGTCGATTTTTTATCATCTATTTTTTTATATTTATCTTCTTATTATATATTCTTATTATAAATATAATATGATATTATAAATACGTGTGTAAGTTAGGCGTATTTGCATGTTTAATCAAACGTCTTCCAAAAGTGACGTAAGATTGTTCCCAATATCTTAAATATTCGATTTAACAAAATATATTAATTTTATCTTGTTAATAAAACTTTCTAAGAGCTTCATTTCATTGTCAGTTGTTTCAAAAAAATTATAATTATTTTTATGGGTTTTATAAATTTTTCAGAAAATTATTATTTAAACGTACATATAATATTAATTTATTTTAATAAGCCACAAAATTATATAACAAGGAATATAAAACAATCTACTATATTTATAAAATAAATTTAATATTAATTGTAATATTAAGGAGACAAACCACACGAAATTTGCGTTGAGCTTCCAACACGATTAGATGTAAATACAGAAATAATTAATACCATTCTCAACTTATTTATTTTGGTTCCCGTTTTGAACTTATCGCGTTCGCGTTTATCGAAGCATATTTATTTCAAATTCTCGTCGTAAATGCAATGATATTTATAATTTTCTTTTCTTTTGCAAATATCTGGAACTATTATCTTATGTAGCTTTCAAAATTTTATTATTATTTTTAAATTAATTTACCCTTTTATATACACATAACCCGGGATTGATTTGGTTTAATAACGCTATAGATAGTTTCAGTATTATCGATCATTTGTTCTAGACTTTCTGTGTGCCTTATTTTATTAGTGTTATATCTAAGTTCTTGTGAATCTCCAATTTGATATGAAAAATCAAGTATATTAGATTTTTATCAAAACGGAGTGTATATTGTGCATGTTTTTGATTTATGTCTGGTTAAGCAACTGTACTAGAGAAGTAACAAAATATCGCATAAGTAGTACTTAAAATAAATGATATTAAATTTGTTTTATTATTGGCGAAATGTCGCATAATATGGTAGGTTAAGATTAAATGTATGTTTCGAAATATCGTCTTACATGATTAATAGTATGTAATGTCCTCTACTAGATGTATAAAAATTTTCGTTTGTTATGATTCTTGTTTTCACCTTTCTAGTCACGAGTAACGGCGTTTGTTACTAAACATTGATGGCAATATTTTTTACGGGTATATTTTTTCCAACACATCATTGAACGTAAACTACATATTGAATACAAAATATTAAGTTATTAATCTAGGTTTGGTTGTCAATGTTCCATTCATAAGAATATAGTTACATATAGTTGTAAATTATTTTATTTCAAGTCAAAATAATCCTCAATTTAACGTTGTAGATATTATGTTGAGTTTCATTTATTAAATGTAATTTTTGCCTTAAAGGTAATTATTTTTCGCAAAATAAAGCTAGTTATGTTGTCGATAGCGAGGTTGTTGTTGCAATAACAGGAAAACAAACATTTAATCTGATGTAAATGATGTTATAGATTCGAAATGTCGCAACAACGATTGTAATATAAATCTGGATTTTATTTGCTAAACGCAATCAACGTCAGCAGACGCGTTATCGAATAGCATTGTTGGAAATTTAATTCACTCAATTCCCTCGGTAACATATTTGATGGTTTGTAGTTCATGAACGATAGCTGCGTCGTTTATGTGTTGATGTTATTTGGAGTATTACAACCATTTAACAGGTTCACTAGTATATTAGTTGCATCACCTTTGAAACGTCGGTTGCTATTCGAAATGCCTAAGCTTCATTCCTTTTATTACTTGCCTTTTTTATAATCAGTAATAATATTTGTATATTATTACTGATTATAAAAAATTATTACTTTTTATACTATTTTGACTTAATTTATTATAAACACTTTTAACAACAAAGTTTTATTGATATTGAATACGATAATTATATTTCAAGGCAAAAAAACATTAATATTAAAAACATTACAGAAAATAAAATAATTAAAGAGGCAATGCTAAGGGTACATACATTTTGAAAAAAAAAAGTTGTTTCTTTACGTTTATTTTTAAATTATATAGGTAATATAATATTGTCATCAATTATTAAGTAAACACAACGACCAGTGAAAATGACATAACGCAAACGAACACCACATTAATAATACAAAATATAATTAATAATTAGTACATGAAATATAAATCCTAAATTTATTTTAATATACGTGTAAGGTACTGTAACACAATAATAGTCTTCTACGGAAATATTTCAATACTTAAAGAAATTAGAATTAGTCGATATAGTGTAACTTTTTTCATTCGAAATTGTTTGTATCATGTTAATAATAAATGCCACTGATTATAACGATAAAATTTATGCACTATGCTAAATACATATACATAATAAATACATTAATATTAAGTCACGATAGCTCAATAATTTACGGTATTCTATAAACGTGTAAAATAAATAGGTTTAAGAATTTATGTATATGGACATTAGACGTAAACATAACATTAAGAACCGTGAATTAATATGTATAATGTTAAAGGTAAGTTTTTAACGTAAGTCCCATTTTGTAATGTTAAAATAATTTAAAGTCAAGCACTAACACCTACTATTATGAATACACTCAAAAATTCTTACGCTAATATTAAAATGTATTATAAATATGAACTATAAATATTAAATGTTATGCGTTAATAATAAAATGTTTCGCGTTTTATTTAAAGTTTAGCCTAGAAAATATACAGTTACGAATCTGCTAATAAAAATACGAAATAAAATACGAAATTATCAGTAACCGTTTACCAAAGTAATTTTCTGTGAAAGCAAAACCCCATTTCTTAAAAAATCTATCAGGCACTTGTAATTATTTGTTAAATAATTTATATCTAAAGAATACTAATAGTATTTGGTTTTGATGAGCAATGAGTTGTGGCGCTGAGGGCTGAGGATTCGAATTCAACGTGGAAAAATTATTTGTATGACCTACAAATCATTTTTCGAGATCTGAGTGCTTTTCCTTATAAAATTTGTGTTCTTGAACTGCCTCCACGATAAAGAAAATCCTAGTCTGGGTAGAACATTAAATAAAAATCAAGAAAAACTAAAATTACAAATTCTTTCGTTAACTATAGTGCGTGCCAAATCGATTGAGAAAAACAGAAAATGACCTCAGATATGAGCCGAGTGTGAAAAGGCGTATCTTATAATTAACTTATTTTGAATAAGTACGTACTTCTTCGGTGTTGTTATCACTCGAATATTTATATGTGTTATAAATTAATGCTTTTTGTTGTTAAATGAATGAAGTACTTTATAACAATAGATGATTTTTCTTCTACAGCGATCTTTTACATAACTTTTTAATAATAGTTAATAAATATATACTACATTAATTATTATAAAAAAATAAAAAAATAATTACAAATAAAGAAAGTACTACATATAAAAAGTGCCTATACATTGAAGGTCTGTAGCCCCTGGTTAAACGACCGAAAGGTCATTGTCCGTTTTTCTCAATCTATTTGGCACGTACTATACTCTTAACTGAAAATACTACTAGCATTTGAATGGCGAATTCGAACTTGAATACTTCAGGTCCGTAACCATAATTAATAAGTTACTGTCGGTTTAAAGGTATAGTGGCGTTCCTTCGTTATCAAAAAGTTGAATTTATAAATATTTTGAATAGATCTTGCTTACTGCTCATAATAGAGTGATGGTTTCCAGATCAATTTTAGCAATCAACAACAAAATTATAAACCACTTAGCGGTCAGCCACCGCAGAGTCTACATTATGTCGTATTATCGTCGATGGTGTGTCTTTCCTCGAGAATTGGTGTTGGGAGTAGTGGTGCTGGGATTAGTGCACTCAATTGAAGGAGGGCGGGAGGTGCTTTTCAAACTAGGTAAGACACATCATTTTATTTTATTGAGCGTATGGTTGCAAAGTAACATTTAACATCTTTAGAGTAACGCCTGATTCTATCAATTAACAAAATTATATCAAAAATTTTCAATTGCTTGGTGTATATCTTAGTGGAAGAAGTGTACATGCAAGCACTGATTCATTCACTCGCCCCAACCCATCTGAATCCGATAAGGTGGTTAAGTGATAGCAGCTTAATGTTGCCGTGTTTATTATGGTGCGTGTAGAGAAACCTTTTTTACTGGAAACGAGAGGCATTCCATCTTAGTCCTAAAGGGGGAAAACGCATTTGCGTTTTGATTCGTAATCTAGGATAGATGTAGAAGTATATGGACTACAGCACCCACTTCAGGTGGACTGTGTGAACGTTTGTCACCTTGATTCTATAAAAAAACGGTTGAGACTGTCATTACTGGCGACAGGGATACAATCTCAACTCTGTTTGGCGTCCTGAATTTCAACTGAAGACCTTGACTTAGTTACGTTAGTAGTAATACGTACGTACGGAATATATATTATGTATAAATTTCTATACAAAAATGTATTTCAAGGTACCTACTACAGAAGTCAGCGAGTTATTTTAAACTTAATATCCAGCAGTAGATAAGCCTAATATAGAAATAAAAGAATAACCACATCATAAATATTTTTATTGAAAAATACAGTACTCATAAAAAGGTATCAAAGATCCAAATTAACCGAAATTACTACTGAATAAGGCCCAAGGATTCCTTGCTGTGTCAATTTTTGGTGCTGGAGCATTATAGTATCCTTGTGCCCAGTCTACGAGTGATATAGGACATTTATATATATCGCAGTTTTCCAAGATAACTCCAAGTCGATGCGCCGAGTCGTATATTGTGTGTTCTAAAGGCTCTGTTTTCAATAGTTTTGTCATCGGCAATCTGAAAAAAGAACACGTTATCCAAATATATATTATTAATACATAGAATAACAAATAACCATCGCATCGCTGATGTCTTCGCTGGTGAGTAACGATCAGCGAGCGATCCGGAGACCCCTTCTACCGATCCCGCAAAATTTCATCGTATTCTGTCGAACTTAACCTGTCGTCACGCAAAAAATATTCTAGACCCAAACAACAACATGCTTAATATACTTTGTGCGTTTATGCTTGATCTTTGTGCTTTTAAGCCCCAGCTGGACGCTGCACGCTGGATCTAGTCAATAAGATCAGTCCATCACACACAGTCATCAATTCAATCGCGTTACGTACACATAACGTCACAAATGTGATTACCGTAGGGAAAGCAACGAGTCAAAAGAGCAGGGAGCTATTTGGACCCCGTTAAGCTAAAAAATGGGCTTTGATAGAAAATTTTTAAATTTCTCAAAAATTCAATCACCTCAAAAATAAGACTTAAGTAAATGAAATAAAACTGTTTTTGACTTATGAAATGAAAACAGTCAAATTTAAATATGTTTTTAATCTAGTGCCTCCCGGAGAAGAAATGGCGGAAGAAACTCTTCAGGTGCAGAAATGTATTGTTTTTGCTTTAGTCTACATACGACCTGTACCTGACGTTAAGGATTATGGTGAATGTGCAAATTTAATTACGAAATAAAAAATAGCGTTTGGACTAATTTATTACCTACGAAATTTACTTTAAAGAGTAATTAGTCGCTCACAATTTTTCTCATAACAACAGTAAAAAAATACCTGTATGAATTATACAGGTATTTTTTTTTAAATATATGCGACCGAGATTACAAATTTCCTAACAGAAAGTGACAAACAATATGAAACATGGGAATGACATAGATAATAGGAACAACATTATATTTTTGCGTATTAAAAAAGCCTACCCTTCAAAATTTGCATGGGGCTAATTGTTCAACGTCATCATTAGAGCATATCAAAGATCACTGGCTTCCCCAACATTTTTCCTCATAGTGGCGCGTTGGTAACCACAGTTTTTTATCATTATGAGTTTTTAAATACGGCTGCCCATCTGTTTTGGTTTTCATCTGTTGCCTCTTAATTCACCCACAGGATGATATACTAACGAGGTATTCATCTTGAGCATGTTTATTACTTGATCGTTTAGGTTAGTTTCCATTTTATCAAAAAATGTATGAACTGATTTTGATGAAAACAATCATATTCTAATTATTATGTATCGAATGAAACCAGTCCGTTGACATATTTTTTTTGTTCATGTCAATTCACACATATAAATGTCAGAACGAGATGTGAAATTATTTAGAAAATCCCTAATTGCACGCTATTTACAAATAAATATGTATTAAAATCCGTCAGTCAACACAGCGAATCGGGTTTGTAGTAGTGATTAACTGATAATACGACGTAATTGCTTGTATGTGTGTTCCCGGCGACGCCTGTCCTCGTACAAAATAAGGTTGACAGCCACTCTATTGTGTATTATAGTATTCTATGGTTTATCTTTCCAGGGTAATCTTCGGAATGTTTGAACTGTTTGAACTTGAGCAATGCCAGGAGGGATATTCGCACGCAGGTTTGCTCATTGCTCGGGGGCCTTCAAAATAACTCTTTTCAGAGCATTTTGTACGTCCCTGTACACGGCTAGCCTGTGGGTGTCATATACCCAGAAGCAGTACAACACACTCCATGTGCAATTTAATAATGCGTTCAGGGTGCTGTTGGGGCTGCCCGGGCACTGCAGCGCGTCAAAGATGTTCACCGACGCCCGTGTCGTTTTTTTCTACACGACGACGCAAAAACGGTGCACATCTATGGGGCACAGGCTCCGGACCACGTCCAACACAATCTTGAGCATATTTGCAAACTTTTTTGATTGTCAGTACATTAATCATTGTTATATGATTAATGTAACAAAAGAAACGATTCAGATGCAGGCTTATTATTAAATTTTTATAGTTAATTGTGTTAATGTGGTTTTAATGGTTTTTAATCTGGTTTTTTAAATGATTTTAAGTTTATATTATTCAATTTTATTTTAATTTTATAATCATATGTAATTTGAACATTTACATTTAATTTCAAATATACTACTGTACCAATGATCTGATGGATTGAAATAAATTTTTATTATTATTAATAACATTATAAGCTATATTTCAACCGAAAAACTAGATTTTTTTTGGAAAACGAAATATATTAACCACATTAACAGATTCCAACCAGGCGAAATCGGAGCTGGCAGCAAGTCGTAAAATAAGCATTGTACCTACCGTTTTCAAGACCGAAAAGATAACGGTACCCTTATTGCGGTTAATATAATTTTCTTATCAAATTTTACCACTGTTCACGCGACCGGCATTTAAGTGCGGATTAGGCTTTGTGATATTAGACCCAAAATTACTCTCCTAATTCCTTTTATCCGCTTTTACAGAGTACGTGTGCTGTGTACAGAATTACATTACAGCTTAGTTAATCGCATGTTATAAATATAGAATTAATAGTGTGTCAAATAAAAAATAAAATTGTATTTAAAAAAAATTACAATGCTAAAAACATTCACTGCTTTGAAAAAAACTCAAATATTTTCGGATGTAAACATTTAGACACGTAGTTATCATGAAAGTCCAAAATACAATAACGAATTAGTATAAATTCATTTATTTATTATCAGTCAAGCACTCCAGTATGTATATAAAGTAATATTTATTTAATTTATTACCTACTTTTACAAACATATTTTAAAAGTAGTTAATATATTTTAAGACTTTTGCTGTGTATTTTTCTTTTGTCTGCAAAAAAGGATTAATTATTGTTATTATATCCTTTTTTGATGGTGGTTTTGTATATATATAATTGAGTCGATTCTGTTGTGAGTTACGGTGACATCGGTTTATATATTATTTTATTTTTGGTAAATCATTATATTTTCAATATTATTATGAATTGTTTAGAATTAAATTGAATGAATGTAATATTACTCCATGATCCTTGTTGGTCTATATATATATATAATAGTATCCTTGATTATCTTTCAATTATACGCAAGGTGGCATTGCTATATCGGTCAGTCTAGAGCTATGTTATCTGTATTCTGCAATATCATCATCATCGTTACAGCCCTACAAGTTCACTATTTAAGACAGATCTTCCCAAAGAAAGGTTTCAAAACACAGTCATAAGCCACCTGCTACAGCCGACTTCCCACATGTCTCACTAAGGCGTCACTCCCTCTTTTTTACAAAATAAGTGTGACAAACAAGCACACAGTCTGTCTGATGGTAAATGGATGCAGTGGCCCATAGACATCTATATGTATTAATTTTTTAAAGGGGGGGAGTACTGTGGGTGCTGCTGGCACAGCACACACATACGTCGTCCGTGTCAATGTATATGTAATTCGCATGAAATACGATAACGACCGCCGCCAGCGGGACGGCATTCTGTAAGTCGGTTAGCTAGAGTGCAGTAGGCAGTTCCTTTCTAAGTGTATCATGTGAACACGCATCTCTGATGTAGAAAATAAATCAACTACAACGCATGTGAACAATTACTTCATTTTCCTCCCTACACAAGCCCCTAAGTACACTAGCGACCAAAACATTCACAACATCCTCTTTTAAGAATCAAAACGCAGATGCACTGTCATCCCTAAGGCCTAAAATCTACAAAAGGGGCCACCTTGTAAATACGAGGTGGGCACTCGAGAACCTTTCTTCCCTAACAGTTGTCGATTCATAGAAGTAGCTGTCCGGCCCACTTCCTGCTCCTTTATGCTGGGTCGATTTCACTATTTCTTCTGCGGAAATCTTTAATGTAAAAATAAAATTATTAAAACTAGCCTGCATGCGATTTTGCAAATATCTCATTATTTTTATAGTTTAATAAAAGATATTTTAGACATATAGTAGCTAGATCGTAGAATTACTCATACTATAAAGTATCAATGTTTGTAATCAGTTAGTGAAATTATGATTTAAAGAATCTTCCTCATACTATCGCAACGAATAGTGATTTCTCAACTTTAAATGTCATCAGTTATCACAGGCAAAAGAGTTGGTTGAACAATTTTTTATTATTATTTTGAGAAAACGTGATGAGAAAATGTAACTCAAGATTGATGTTGTTGTCAGCCTATATACGTTCTCTTACTACTGACAGGGTTTATGGGCAAGGAAATGTTAGCTGTGCTACAGTGCGTGTTGGAAGACTTCGCATATATTACAAATATCTTTTTTACTTGTCAGGCAAAAAGGTTTCTCCATAATGTTTTCCTTCACCACCGAGCACGTGATAAATCAGCATTTAAAAATTACAATTAAAATTTTATTGGTACCACCGGGGATCGAACTCAGGTTACGCGCGTACGAAGCTAAAAAATTTTTAGGGCCATAAATAAAAAAGTTGTCCAATTTTTCTTTTTATGAACTAAATATGATTGAAGAGTAGAAAATGTATTTAACTCTGTGTTTGTCAACTACACAAACATTGATTGGTGGTGTAACGCAAGTTGACAGTCACAAAAGTAAATATATTAATGAAGAGTGGAATATATGAATGCAGCAAAACCAGTGATAATCACATAGATATAGGTTGTTAAACCATGTAAATATTAGGTACATATTATAGTGTACATATTTCAATAATCTAATTATTCATAACATAATGCTATAATAGTTTATTAATGAGTTAATTAACATAAACTAACCTACTCATTAAACTGCGTGCAAAGTAAGGTATTTAATTTAACTGAATGATAGCCAAAAGTTTTGCGTATAGGTTATTCATATAAAAAATGGATCACAATTGCACAACAATAGCAGAAATGAACACATTATAAAGTGTAATTAAATGTTTTCATTTCACTTTATATGTAATGATTTCTTATATTTACGCGAACAATACATATTGAATAAAACTAGGTATACGGATTTTATCGCGTTTAATTAACATATTTTTTATTCCCAACGTTTCGGTGCTTAA